TATTGCCTGCATAAAAACTGATGTTTCAAAGTTCTTTTATGTGACCAAAAGACTAGGCTACCATGAGCATTGTGGTCGATTCACTTCATTAGAGTTTGCACAAATGACATTATTTTAATAACCGGGTATACCCTGCCGGTGTTCCGTGAGGTCAAATGAACAGCAAAGAACAACCAGTAAGCAGAACCTGTATATATATTGTGAAAATAAAATGTCACTCGTGTGCACTTACATAATCACCCCGAGTGCATCATCGAAACCACAACAGGGGGCGCCGTGTTTTAAGTCATTGAGCAGGTGGAGAGATCACAAAGATCTCTCTGTGACCAGCTCCGAGATACCCAACACATCATCACTTGCTACTTACATTCCTCACATAACAGCCACAGTCCTCAGTACCTGGGAAGGTGCAAGGGAGCATGGCTTCGGCTTCCCATCCAACCACGAAGCTGGGCGGGTGATTACATGACCACCTACCAGCCTCCCTGCTTCATTACTGTGTGTGTTTGTACATTTATATGCACACCCTAATGTAATAGGCTGCGCACGCCTATGTGGATTTGTTTTGATAAACTATATACATTATCAAGGTTTTTAATATATTAAAATATAATAATTCTATTCACATTCATCTGCCCATGATCATGTTCAAATGTACTACATATGCAATAACAGTAATGAACACTATGGGGTCTATTCACAAAGCTGCCGAATGATATAACCGTAGCTTCAGCTGATCCTTCGGCTAGCTTCGGCCCCAGGACCCCTTCGGTTCAGTAGAACCGAAGGGCTGCTGTACGGGCTATTCACTATAGCCTGTACAGCTCCCGAATTTTGCCGAGTGGCTCAGTCAAGTTGAAGGCATATGCCTCGGCTCGACTGAGCTGAGGTGAAACGGCCGGCCATTACTCTCCCGCACGCTCCAGGAGTCTCCCGCTATTAGATAGCGGCTCCCGGCCACCCGGGAGAGATCCACTTTCTCCTGGAAAGGTTTACTCTGCTCGATCGAGCAGAGTAAACCTTTCCCTGCTCTGTTTTTTTTTCTTCTGACATCGGAGCCGCCGGTCACCGTCGGTGAGAAAAAAAAAACAGCATAGGAATGCATAGCTACATTCCTATTGGCTATTTCACTATGCCACAGCCAATAGCAAACTAGCTATTGCACTCGCCCACTGCTGATGTAAATCAGCAGAGGGTACCTGAAGTTCTCCATCAGGTCCTCTCTAGTGATTGACAGCAGCAGAGGGCAGGGGCAATAGGCAGCTTGCTATTGGATATTGCAAATTGAAATAGCCAATAGGAATCTAGCTATGCATTCCTATGCCATTTTTTTTTATTCTGATGGCAGCAGCTGTCACAATAAAAAAAAAAGAAACCGGCAGATAGCAAAGAAGCTATTGCTTCCTCTGCTATCTGCCATCATTTCAGGGTGTGCTCTTTCCCCCCTGCATTACAATGAGAGTTTAGCAGAGCCGGAGGTGATATGAAAGCCGACTCTGCTGAGCTCTCATGGTACTGACAGTTCAGCGTCCACTGGTTACTTGGTCACTTCACTTCGGGTCGGTTATTCACACAGCTGCCTACGGCAGTTTTGTGAATGGACCCGTATATTTCAGCCTAGGAATTGTGCAATACTTTTAATGTTTCTAGACACAGCAGTAAATTAATAAAGGTCCATCAGACCAATTACGTTATTTTTGATTGAAAGAAAAACATGCAGGGGTATTTATTAAAAATGGAGAAGACAGAATCTGGAGCAGTTTCCCATAGCAACCAATCAGCTTTTCTCTTTCATTTTCAAAGCTTAACTGAACAAACTGAAGAGAGAAGCTGATTGGTTACCATAGGCAACTGCTTCAGATTCTATCTGCTCCAGTTTTGATAAATCCCCTTATATTTAAGAAGACGTAGAATAGAATTAAATTTTTTCCCTGACCACCTTATTTTGGCAATTATTAGTACATACTTGTAGAAAATGAAACATTCCTATTGAAATAGTTACATTTTAGTTATAATAGAAAATGCAGCTAATAGCAACATGTATTATTCAATAATGTGCTGCAAAGAGCATTGATGTGCCGCAAGCCAATACAACCAATTAAAAAGAAGTCATCATTAAACTGTCTGGGGATGGCTGATTTGTAATCGGTTGCTATGGGTTACTGCACAGTTTTGCTCTTGGCACCATGTTACTAACTAACCTCCATTTGCATTTCAATTCATGCATATTTTATGCAAGTGTACTCATAAAATATAACCTAACAGCACACCAAAGCTGTTTTTTATATTCCATAACTCAGCCAAAGAAATGGCATCCTGCATAATGAAGACATTCCATTAGTTACTAATAATAAACAATAAGGACTCAAACTAGGTGCTGCCAGTAAATTTAAAAAAAAACTGTGGAATCCAAAGCATTACTGATAGTGTAAATCAATGTATGTGCTGCATATGTGGATGAGAAAGAAATCTATTATTATAGTACACAAGCAAATACTGATGTACAAAAACAAACATATGTTGTGTATTGTTGTAAGGTGAACACAGTTCACCCAATTACAGATATAAAATGGCACCTAATGTCAGTGCAGGCATGCTGATCACTATTAAATCACATTCGCTGATGCATTCTGTTGCCCTCCTCCCCTCTATGGATTGAACTCTCATATAAATCATTGGAGGTTTGTATGTGCCAATGTGAATCCAAACTTGTAAATACTGGCTACACCAAAGTGAATGATTCCCTTATTGGTATCTTAGAATGTTAATTATCAGGGACACTTACTTAACAGAGATCACTTCCATTATCTGTGCCATTAGTTCACTGGGCTTGTAAACTGCCAATATCACTCATCCATTGAATACAATAAGGGTTTTCTATAGGAAATAAAAAGTGCTCTATAGCTATTGATCTAACCATGTAGAAAGTCAGTACTCAAAGTAGTGTGTCTCAGTACTTCTAAAGTCCTGCACTAGCCTACATCATCAAATCCTTAATCTATTTCTCCGGAAGGATTACCACTCCAAGTTTGACTAATTTACCTGACAGGCTGCCTGTTGGAAAGAACAGACTATACTTCTTCACAAAGAGGGTCTTGTTCACATTTTATTCCACACTCCTGATATCAAAGCAGAGGACTTGTCAGAAGATGTTAGCATTAACCCATCAAAATGAGGAGGATTTCACAGCCTCTCTGTGCTCTGTTCCTTTGTCCATACAGAAAGGGGAATGTCCCCCATTTTCAATGGAATGCACATACAAAAATCCATCCACTATTGCATGTTAAATCATAAATCCTGTTAAATGGTTTGGCTCCTTCTATAAAGATCATTGTATGCTTTTTATGTCCCCATTATTCCAAACAGACAGTTTAATATGCCGCCCATCTCTCTCTGTGCGAAACTGTAATATTCTTCCAATAAGACCTATAGTAAAGGTCACAGGTATTGGAAGGCTGAATGTCAGGGGCACCCTTTCCTGTGTGCTCTCTACATTGGTAATCGATTTTGATTGCTATCCATTGTGAGCCACGTATTAACTTTAGAAAGCACACCACCAAATGTTTCCATCAGCAAACTGGGTTACATAGGCATTGCAACGTGAACAGTTAAAAAAGAGTTGCCTCCTCTCTAAGCACATCCCATCTTTATAGACAGTGCAACACGTCAGTGCATGGTACATAGGTGAGTACATAGGTGATACAATCCTTGTCATCGGTATGATCAACACATTAAATTATTTTTGGTGGCAGATCTACAAAACGAAAAAGAATTTAATTTGCACCGAATCGTATGTGTCAGACATTGAGCGTCTTGTGTGGTTCTATTATATTTTCACCAGCTAAACAAGCCTCCAGGGATTTTCCTGCTAGTCTGCAGAGCAGATGGATTTTTTTGTTCCCTCTTGTTAAAAAGGGCTTTCTGGAGCCTATATAAAAATCAGATTAACTTTCATCATGGTGGTGACTATCTAAAACCACTATAAAAAAAGGGGGACACAGTGTGTGAGAAGTAGAGCTGGAGGCATTCTCTTTCCTCGGGATATAAAAGAAAATCAAACTTTTATGTCTATAGTTCTCAGCCAGCATACCATGGGATTTGCTCCAAGAGCTGAATGATTAAGAGGTGCTTTCTGGTCCATAGGAGGCACCTTCTCCTATTAAAAGGGCAATAAAAAAAAAAAAAAAGAGAGACATTTGTAGGCAGCCTTAAAATGGCAGCACAAATAGCCCTAGAAGCTTTTCCATTTGTTTATGGAAACACAGAGGTCGGTTCGGAAAACTGTACAAAGATGTGTATGTATATAAGCTATAAAAGAAAAGGCGGAATGAACCTGAAAACTGCATAAAAGCCTCCCTGCTGCTTGTGTACTCCTCAGAGGTGTCAACATCACAATCACTTTGGGGTATATTTAACAAGCCTGCAAAGGAGGGGCTATGTGGTGCAGGAAAACTCCACCATAGCCTCATTTATGAAGATATACATCACATCGCTGAGTATGGCTCTGTCCCTTATTGTTAAATAAGTAGTATGTAGGAGTCCCCAAACCCCCCTTGTATAAGGTCTACGCTATATTTATTATGCTAATAATGCCATCAGGAAGACTTTGCCTGCTCTGGTGTCCCTTCCCCATTAGTGAACACGAAACCCCTTCCAGCCGCAATCACTTTTATGGCTTTTCTTTTGGGAAGTCCCTGAGCCGGCAGAAGCGTCTCTCTCCCAAACGCGAGCAGCCAAAGTTCGGTGTGGTTGCCATGGGTGACTGCACAGCCTTATTAAACCCTTCAAGCAGAGATCCCGCTAATTAGAGAAGCGCAGCGGCGTCTCATGCATATCAAAGCTAAGTAATTGGCATTAGTTCCTGTACTCCTGTAATTGTAAGGCTACTCTGTGTATGGATAGAGACTTTACACACAAGGCTTACTAGTTCATGCAGCAGAAGAAAAAAAAGAAAAAGCAATAGGTGATAGGCTATGGTGAGGAGAAGCTGTGGCACTTACCGTCCCTGGTCCTGGGGCTGCATTGCCCTGGCAGTGGCTGTGCTCGCAGGAGCCGCACTTGTAGCTGTCCGCGGTGCTGAAAGAGGCTAGCAGTCCACAGCATAGTGCCGAGTCTCTTCCATGTGAATAGCAAATACTCCCACTGGCAGCTATTGGTCTTTCTAACTCTCCTAATCCACCTCTTAACAGACGCTCACCCTGACCACGGGCAAGGAAAGCATCCCCTTAGCTTAAATGGCTACAACAGGGGATGTTTGTAGCCAGATGCACACACACACATAGGGGCATTTAATGTGACAGAGCGCCTCTTTTCCCAGGAATGATGTAGGCGACAATTATGTCTAGGTTGTACTGTGCCTCATTATTTGTGAGCTCCTATCTCCTCTACACTGGCTCCCACTGCTTATCTGTGTGTGTGTTTTGTAAAGCTATATGAATTTCACAATGCTGAACAATGCTCGCAATTACCGCACAGAGGGCTTCTCATTGTTTAATTATTAATTGGTACATGGTGTACAGCTAGCTTGCCATGGGAAAGTGAAAAACATACGTTCCGCGATCGCCCGAAATGTGGGCTTTTGATGGGAGCCCTCTGCAGTCACAACGCACGTTGACAGTTAAAGCTTAACGAGCTGTTAATTATGACACCGACACGTCCATCCATCGTGATTAGCTCCAAACACATATAGATGACGCCGAGGGCTCCATTGTAATGTAAACTTCTGTGTTTGATATTGCCGGCGTTGTGAATTGGGCACACAGGTTGAGCCTGAATGATTCGATGGAGTGCCCTTTATCCAACTGTGTCATAATTGAAGAGATTTGATTTTGTGAACATCTGCTCACCGTCATTACAAGGTATGGTTAATCCTGCATGCTAATTAATCTAAGTAGCAGGCTATACCGCAGACCCACTAAACTGATGCCTTTTGATAGAAGCCATGCAGGAAATATTTAGTCAATGTTTTGTAATATTAACAATAGCTGGCATAGTCATCCCATTTTTTTTCACTTCCACACTGGCGTGTTGTGAAGTATTGGAGTTTAATGTCGATATTTTACTTGGTAGGAAAGTTCCATCTTGAGGAAAGTGGCTGCAACTACATTTTACTTCAGCCTTCAGTTGTAAATCGTCTTTTTTTGTGTGCCATCACTTACACTCTGATGCATCCCTACAATTATAAAATATCTTTATTCTGCAAAGCCTACACACTTATGCTAGGTAAAGCATAGATCTATATTAGCAGCTTGTGGGGTTATATTAAAACCAGGGGCAAAATATATGCATAACATATTCTTTGATTATACTGTATTTATAGGGAGTGTAGAATTATATGGAGGGCCGCCGCTGGGGGGCTGGAGGGACATGTGCCCTAGGTGCTGCTTTAAGGGGGGTGCCACTGGGTGTGTGGATGGAGAACCTCTCCCTTGCTGGGGGCAACTCTGAGCCTTTGCCCCAGCTGACAGAATGTCTAGCTTCCCCACTGGTTATATGAAAAAAAACGACTTTAGGCTTTGTGCAACAAAGAGTCTACTTGCTATTTCTAAAAAACCCATATTTATATATTTTGCATTTTACATGTATTTATGCACACACAAATGCAAAGCTCCAGCTCAATGCTTCCTTTAGGGTTCTTGAACAATTTGAAGCACCAGGCTGGCAGTTTGATTCTCTAGAGGGTGCTTTATTGACTGCTTTAATACTCACACGCTCATGCACATACACAAGGTTACAGTTAGTGAAATACTGATAAGCATATATTAAACTATGCCTGTAATCCTTCTTTATTTTAAACTCCTGTAATCCACTACACACCAGAGAAAATATGTGAACAGACTACAAGTGAGAATGCCTGTGCTGACTGCCATATTAAGAAAACAAGTGGAGAGCTAGAATAAGTGGCATACATATTCTCTCTGCATGTTCCATTGACAGCAGTTCTGACATTTTCAAGCATTAGGAAATTTTAAGGAAAAAAGGGGGCCTAGGTTACATTTTAAGATCAAGCATGTGTCAGGAGGCAGATACAGCAAGAATCGTGTGCTTGGAAAAAGTTGGCTTAGGGCCCATTCACACCGTATCCGTTGTGTTGTGAGACGTTTTTCAATGGATGGTAACGGAAGGGCACCAAAAAAATGAATGGTGTGAATGGGGCTAGTTCACACTGCGCTGTTCCATTATGTTGTGCTGAAAAAAAAAAGGAACATGCACTACTTTTTTTCAGAGCAACTTAATGCAACAGATCTGGTGTGAACTAACCCCAATCATTTTTTGGTGCCCTACTGGTAGCGTCCATTGAAAAACCGATCGCAATGCAACGGATGGGAAGGAGACAAGAGGGTACAATTGCAAGTCAACGGTTGACTGGTGATTTCCTTTCCGATTTTGGTGTGAATGCAGCCTTAGTCTTTCTCCCATTTGGAGGCAAACTCCAGCCCGCCAGCTACAAATCCCATTAGGCATTACAAGACTCTAACAGGCAGGGGCATAACTCCCAGAGGCAGATGCAGGATAGGATTTGTAGTTTCACAATAGCTGGAGGACCAGAGTTTGCCTATCCCGGCTTTAGCCCAATGTTGTTTTGTAGAATGGGGTCAACTGATTTGCATAGTGCTATATCGTATAACGTCAACTGGCTGTGTCCTGATTTCTATGCTAGGTGAACATGGGTCAGCTGCATGTTATACAAGTGTTATACAACAACTATGTATCGTGGTCCATTCAGTCAAACCCTAAGGCTGTTCAGATACAGGCAGATATCACCCCAAGGAGGAAAGGCTTTTAACCAATTTAACTACTGTAATGAGCACCTCCAACTCCCTGTAGGAGCTCAGTAGCAGGCTAATAAGCACATGCTATTCCTAAAATCAAAAGCTTAATTTGTCGTTAAAGGGCTGTCTATGACCACCCTAAGTCCACATCCCTATGCAGTATAAGCCTGTGATAAAATGTGCTTCATTGAATTAGGCAGGAGGTGAAAATAGCTGGACAAAAATCCAAACACTGGTCAACTGATCATTAAACAATGTCACTTTTGATATTGAATGTACACTATACTAACCATCGCATTACTATTATTATTATTCTGCATCTATATAACGTAAACCACTATAAGCAATCTAAAGGATTATTCTAAAAGTGTCAAGCTACCCCTAGACCTCAGACTGTGGCCAGAGTAAGGGCATTACTTCCCCATTAATTGCTCCAAGTGTTGCAAAAACATGTTTTTTTTCTAGCCTAAAAGCATGCATGTGGATGGACAATCCTATCCTAAAGTGTATTTCCGATTTTGCAGTCAAATTTGAGGAAACCCCTCTATATGTTTCTTATGTGTTCTTATTCACGTATTTAAAAAAATATATATCTTACACTTGAGATGTTTTGTTGTAGCAGGCAACATGGCTGATTCCAGGTTTTCCTCAGCACCTTCACAGTGATCTGTCCTTATGGAAAGACCTAGAACTGAAATTTGAGGATTGTGGTTTTCTCATTAACTACCTCCCGGCCGGCCGTTGTAAAAACGGCCGGCCGGGAGTTCTCTAGATCTGAGCGGGCGTCTTTAGCCGTCTGCTCAGCCATGCCCACTCGCGCACGCGAGCCGGAAATGCCGACATTTGCAAACAGGCAGCGATGCCCGTTAATATACAAGCGATCCGCCGGCTATAGAGCCAGCGGATCGCTTGTATGAGGTCCCGGGATGTGCATCTCCATAAAGGGGACCTGTCACATCTTTTGCTATCAAATAGGAGGGGGTTTCTTAGCCCCCTATGTGATAGCAATAAAGTTAAGTGGAAAAAAATTAGGAATAAAAATGTAAGTTTCCCAAAATTTTTTTTAAAGTTACACACAAAAAAGAATGATAAAAAAAGTCCCCACCCATACTTGCACGCTTGCAAACATGCGTCGGGTGCGCATACCTGCAAAAACGACGATTGCGCCCATTACGCCGCACGTTACATATTGCCGCGAACGTCACAGTGAGAGCAATCATTCTAGGGCCATCAATCACTGATAACACAAAACTGATGAGCTGTAAAAGCTTTTAAAGCGTCGCTTATGGTCAATATTGAGTATGATAGTTCTTTCGCAATTTTTAAGCATGACATGTTTGGTGTCTATTTACTCGACGTGACCGCGTCTTTTATATTTTACAAAAAAATTAGGTAATAATAATTGTTTCCTAAGATATATTTTCAGTCAATTTTCTAAAATATAGTTAAAAAAAAGTGGTGATTAAATACCACCAAAAGAAAGCACTATATGTCCCCACAAAATGGTATAAAAATTCATTTCAGTACAGCGTTGCATGACGGAATAAATGTCAGTCAAAGTACTGCCGCGCTGAACACTGAAAAATGGCCTGGCCAGGAAGGGGGTCTAAACACCTGGTCTTCAAGTGGTTAACATACAATCACAACCCTTCCTAACATTACAAAAGAAGATGCAAGTGTAAATGTTAACTCTTAGGAAGCATTGAAACCCTAACCAAAGTAAAAGCATTTTAAACGGCAAGAATATTTTTTTTAATCTTATGCTATGTAAATAGGACCATGTTACAAATATAAAATATGTGTTATCCCAATTTTGGCTGCAAAAGTGGAAATACTGTACATTTTAAGGATACAGTATGCAATATTACCAAAAATATTTAAATCCAGTCAACAATGATTTACGCAACAGAGCTCTGACAGTAGAGCAACTGAGGTCATCCACATATCCTGTGCTTTTGGTGGAAGTTCTAGCCATTACACTGGCTGTTCCACCTAAAAAACATGTGTACATTAATTGACATTTGCCCATTGCTAGGCAGTTACATGTGAAGTCCTGTTGCTGTACATGAACACACCCAAATTCTACCTACAAGAGAACACCCATGCACACTTACTGCACATGATTAGTTAGCTAGAAAGACTGCTGGGACAAGTAGTCCAGGAAACTGCAATACCGGCACAATCATGCTTGCTTGTAATCTACTCCCATAGATCAACATTTTTATTACATTTAGAGTTGCAGCACTGCAACATGACCCAAGATTTTAAGAAAGTAAACCACTAAGCTACATTTTTTTTTAGTCAAATAAAGTTTTATTCGTATTAAACAGGGTAAAAATATATAACATACATAGCACATAAAAAGGCATAGCAAATAACTATAAACTGAAACAGGGGAGTCAGCCATCATGCGCCATAACCGTGGACAAACACCCCGCTGACCAGGAGCAGAGGTGGCAGGAGTTCCTAAAAACATAGAGAACAGGGCAAAACAGAGTTCTCAGAAT